TCCATGTATAATTTATGTAACATGGTTTCGTGCATAGCCAAGCCTTAGATTACAACTTATTTCTAAATGATTTTTTTTTATAAACACAAGGTAAATATTCTACATTTTATTCTAGGACTATTCACTTGGTTGTAATTGATAAGGATAAGGATAAGAAGAGCTAAGATTCTCATTTGAATTCAAATTGTTGTATATATCTCCTAAACCTCTCTTCCTCATCTACAAAACTCCTACTACCAGTGTACTTCTTCAGATATAATGTACCCATTTACATGACTGAAAATACAAGTTGGGAACACCAAATCCTCGCTGCTTTATGGTATCAGAAGCCGTAAGCTCACACGAGCAATTCCTAAAGTCTGCAACCTTTTTTTTCCCCTCATCGAGTTAAAGCCTAATGGGAGAAAACTCAAGCACCACCACCTCACCAACCATTTTCAGCCATGGACATGTGATCCAACCAACACAACTGATTTCCTTCAACCCAGCATCACAACTCTCGGTCAAACTGATGGGAAGCTCAAACTACTCGACTTGGCAAGCCCAAGTAACCACCTTACTATTTGGATATGATCTCCTAGCCTACATCGATGGCAAATCTGTTATTCCTCCAGTGTATATTGCAGATGACGAAGGCAATCAACTTCCTAATCCAAACTACAAGTTGTGGCTAAGGCAAGACAGCCTTGTTCGCAGTGCAATCATGGCCTATATCGATCCATCCATTGCGCCAATGATTGCTCAAGCAGCTACTGCAAAAAATGCATGGGACAGTTTGCAAACGACCTATGCGGACAAATCTCAAGCAAGAACTTTTGGTCTCCGTGAGTTACTCTCAAACATCAGGCGAGACTCCAAGTCCGCCAGCGACGACATGAAAGAAATTAAATCCATTGCGGATGATTTGGCTCCCTCTGGCTCACCTCTAACAAATGAGGAACTAGTCATCAAAGTTTTGAGCGGACTTGGAGCAGAATACAAAGAGATCTCAGTGGCTATACGCGCTCGTGATAATCCCATATCTTTCGAAGAACTGTTTGACAAACTTCTTGCTCATGAAGTTTTCGTCCAGCACTCAGAATCAAAGAATGAGCAGCCTATTATCACTGCACAATTTAGCCAGTAGCGCACCTCATTCAACCAATCTAAAGGAAGAAACCACACTGGTTCTCAGCGAAGGGGAGGGCATTCCAATTTCATGCCTAACAACCGTAATTTTTCTGGACAAATGACCAACTCAAAGGCGTTCAATAACAGGTCTAATCAACAAAGAGTGCAGTGCCAACTTTGCGACAAGTTTGGTCATATAGCTAAGGTGTGCCGCTCTAAATCTCACGATGCACTTGAAGCTCGGGCAAATTTTACTAATCATGCAAACTATATTGCCAATCACTCAAGTTCATGGATTGTTTACTCGGGGGCTTCTCACCACATCACAGATAATCCAAACTCCCTTCAGTCTGCTACTCACTTTTCAGGCAATGATGAAATCATTATCGGCGACGGTAAAGGAATACCAAATGCTCATATTGGTCAAACTACATTTTCTTATGATAACACTAAGGCTTTTCATCTGCATAATGTTCTTTGTTCTCCAAGAATCAAAAGAAATTTAATTTCAGTTGCTAAATTTTGTCGCCACAATCAAGCATCTATTGAATTCTTTCCCTATTCTTTTTGTGTGAAGTATTTGAATACGGGGGCACGCTTCCTGCAATGACGGAGCAACGGGGACCTCTATGAATGGCCAGCTGACAAGTCACAACATCGTCCATCTTCTCCTCTTGCTCACTTCACCACTACATCCTCGCCAACATTGTACCTATGGTATGCCAGACTTGGTCACCCTCAACCTAGAATAACGAAATCATTTGTTTCTTCCTTTAAGCTTCTCGTTGCTAGTAGTAGGGACGATTCCTTTACATTCTGTCATTCATGCTTATGCAATAAAAGTCATCGCCTTCCTTTTGGTGACAATTCCATTAGTAGCTCTAGACCTTTTGAATTTTGTACTCTGATGTTTGGGGTCCTTCTCCTATTCACTCATTTTATAATGACTTTATGTGATTTTTGTGGATCACTATACAAAATATACTTGGTTATTCCCATTAAAGAATAAATTAGATGTTCAAGGAGTATTTGTGAACTTTCTTAGCATGGTGAAAAACCAATTTCACCTTACTGTTGGCACACTCTATTCAGATGGGGGTGGAGAATACATAAGCTTAAAATCTATCCTTACGCAGCATGGCGTTCAACATCTCACTAGTCCTCCCTACACTCCTCAAATTGTTGAAACAGCTGAACGCAAGCATCGACATATCATAGATACTGCTCTAACTTTAATGCACCATGCATCTGTACCTTTATGTTTTTGGTCATTGGCTTGTCAAACAGCTATCTACCTTATCAATAGGATGCCTACTCCATTGCTCAAACTTCGTTCTCCTTTTCAATGCCTCTTTCACACATCCCCTAACCCTTTGAAATTAAGAGTTTTTGGTTGTTTATGTTACCCCTGGTTAAAACCATATAACAACAAAATACTTGCTCCCAAATCAAGACCTTGTGCTTTCATGGGATACTCACCTTCTACAAATAGTTATGCATGTCTTGATCTTTCAACCTCCAAAATATTCATCTTAAGACATGTCCTCTTTGTGGAACATATATTTCCATTCAAAAATAATCAACTAGGTCTTCCTAGAATAGAACCATCACTCTTGCACCAGTGGATCCACTCCACTGAACCAACCAATGTTTCTCCAGTACAAAACCAATCAGATATTGCCTTTGAACCTATCTCATTGCCTCCCTCAAGCAACTATCCTTGTCAGCAGCCACCCATGGAAGGTTAACCAAGCTTATCATTGCAAGATGATGCTTCACCTTCACTTGAGGTACGATCTTCTCCACCTTGTTCTTCTTCTACTACTACGCCTCTTCTCTCTTCTTCTACCACATAAGTGGTACCTCTTCCTTCCTCAAGAATAGTGACAAGATCTCAAAATAATGTCTTCAAGCCCAAACAAGTTTTTGACTACCTTGCTGTCTCGCCCAACAAAACACTGCCACTAGCACCTCATACGTTTAAGCAAGCAAACAAATATATTGAATGGCATGATGCAATGCATGCTGAATACTCAGCCCTTTTGAATAATGCTACTTGGTCTCTAGTTCCTCCAACTTCATCACAAAATGTGATAGGCTGCAAGTGGGTGCTTTGTGTGAAATACAATGCAGATGGATCAATCGAACGCTATAAAGCGCGTCTAGTTGCAAAGGGTTTTCACCAAAGACCGGGTGTCGATTTCATTCTACCTTCAGTCCAGTCATTAAACATACCACCATTCGTCTAATTATCTCTTTAGCAGTGTCTTTCAGGTGGCCCTTACGATAACTAGATGTCAACAATGCCTTTCTCCAAGGCACCTTGCATGAAGAAGTCTATATGCAACAACCTCCGGGATTCGTTGATCCTATTTATCCCAATTATGTCTATAAAATTCATAAATGCATTTATGGACTTCGCCAAGCTCCAAGAGCTTGGTATACAGAGCTCAAGAACTTTCTTCTTTCATGTGGTTTCAGCAAAACTCATTCGAATAACTCACTGTTTGTCTGGTGTCAACACAATATCCTTATCTTTGTTATGATGTATGTCGATGACATTGTTGTCACTGGTTCGTCAATCAAGCATGTCGACCACACCATCAAGTTGTTGGGCAGCAGGTTCTCTATCAAAGATCTTGGATCTTTGCATTTTTTTCTTGGTGTCGAAGTCATTCCACAGTCAGATGGTCTCTTACTTACTCAAAGCAATTACATTGCTGAGCTATTAGATAAATTTCACATGCTGGAAGCAAATGGTGTTGCTACTTCAATGTCTACCAGTGAGCATCTAAGCATTAATGATGGATCCTGTTCAACAGATGTGAAGCTGTATAGACAAGTCATTGGATCTCTTCAGTATCTTAGTTTTACAAGGCCGGATATTTGCTTTACCATCAATAAGCTTGCTCAATTCCAACATGCTCCGTCGATTCAACATTGGCAAGAAGCTAAGCGCTTGCTCAGATACCTCAAAGAAACACTCACCTAGGGACTTCTCATAAGGCCCTCATCCACTACCATACTTCAAGCTTACTCTGACGCTGATTGGGGCGGAGTGATTGATACAAGACACTCAACTTCAGCTTATGTCATTCTTCTTGGGTCCAATCCTATCAGTTGGTGTTCTAAAAAGCAGCGAACAGTTGCTCGCTCATCCACTGAAGCCGAGTATCGAGCTGTTGTAGGAGGTGTAGCTGAAATAAACTGGATTGTTAATCTCCTTAAGGAGCTGCATCTTCCACCTAAGACTCCGCCAAATATCCTATGCGATAATGTTGGAGCCACTTATCTCAGTCGTAATCCTGTCTTCCACAGTAGAATGAAGCATGTGGCCATTGATTTTCATTTCGTCCGTGATCAAGTTGAAAGGAATCAAATTGATGTTCGACACATTAGCAATGCCTCACAGCTTGCAGATTCCCTCACAAAACCTCTACTTCGACGACCTTTCTCTGACTTTGTGACCAAGATTGGCCTCCAACCAGTGGAGCCAATCTTGCGGGGGCATGATAAGGATAAGGATAAGCGGAACTAAGATTCTCATTTGAATTCAAATTGTTGTATATATCTCCTAAACCTCTCTTCCTCATCTACAAAACTCCTACCAGTGTACTTCAGATATAAATGTATCCATTTACATGACTGAAAATACAAGTTGGGAACACCAAATCCTCGCTGTTTTAGTAATCAGGTCTCTGGTGATTGGCCTTACTATCTTACTAAGTCCAAAGTCCATTATACATTTGACTAGTTCAAAGTCACCGATCAAGGACCAAGGTCATCGATTGGAAAGTCTAAAATTCTAAAGGAAACACCCACGAAAATCACCACTCACCACTATGTTGAAATTGAAAATCTGATCAGTACCATTAATTGTTGCACAAATGTGAAAGCTTTCACCTTTTCATTAAAAGGATACATTTTGCTAGTATATATGATCAAATAATAACAAAAAGTAAAAAACAAATTACATGCACTTAGTAAAACAATGAAGCTGTAATCTGAAATGTATCTTCAGTCAGCTCACCAATAATGGAGCAAATTCAATTTAGCGACCTATTAATGGGACATAATTAGTTATTCATATACCACTGCACAAAACATATTAAAATCTCCATCTTAATCGGAGTATGTTCATTATACAATTAATTTCAGGTATTCAACCCTGCCAAGAAAGCCACCCCAGTTGAAGGCAACCACGACGATCCGAAAATGAATTGTGCAACGGTGAACTTGCTGGCCTCTTCCACGGACGTGATCACCCGATACCCTGGCCAAGTCACCCGTTGCCCCACGGCTGCTCCCGGTCCATAGTTCATATATTCGCCATAATACAATGTATCAAGTGCGAATGTAGCATTCCACTCTAACCAACCGCGCGGGTGTATATGATCACCCAAGTTAGATAACATGATGACTGTTCGCGAGTACAACTTCCACGGTCGACCGAGATAAGTGGGGAAGCTTCCTTTGGACGCCTCGAGGTCAGATGCGGCTGCGATTTTGCAAGCATGGATTGAAATGCCAGTGTTTTGATTGGGATCCTTCCTATTTTGGGCAGTGATGGTGTTCTTTTGGAAGTCCATGGGCTTTCGAGCGTAGATGCTGCAGTTTTGAAGGACTACTGCTGCATTACCGAAGATGAAATCAACCGTACCATAGATATCACACTCGCGATAGAACTGGCGCTGAGAGTGTACGTAGAGAGTGTCTTGGTATCCGATGATATTGCATCGATAGACCACAGCATGATCAGCGCCAACGCGAAGAGCTACTGCTTGATGTTTGCTTGGTCCAGCGTAGTTCTCAAATGTGATGTCCCTTACAATGAAACCAGCTCCAGTTGCCGCTGTAGATCAAGAAATTTGCACTGTGAGGCCATGAACCATGGTCCAGTGTTATAGAGGTGGCGGAGTATAAATTTTGCACACCAACGATATAAAAAATATTTACACAATTAGATAATTATAGATAAATCTCTGGATAACATTAACTGATAATCTGATAACGATGGCAACTAGCATGTTATATACCCTGTTATGATTAGAGAATGAGTCAAAGAACACTAATAGTTTGAGTTAGATGGGTATATGAGTGATGACCCCACCTCCTAACATGTGCTTGTTTCTATAAATTGAGCCCACATATTAGTAAAGGTCATATCGCTATCTCTAATACTGCTCTCCAGATTATGGATGAAAATACTAATCATGCCATGGATAAGGATCAAAATAATTTGTAATTCCATCAGATTCTCTATTATTTCTCACAATTTTTTTTTAAAAAAAACAAAAACAAAAATTGTGGGGACTGGGGGTCTAACATCGGACTGGGGGTCTAACATCCTATTCCTTGGGACTTCTATTCCCAGTTCCCATTCATATGAAACACGGCATGATAGGTAAAACACCCGAATCTGTGCCTCACCTTTTTAAATATTGTATCTCCCTCCGTTCCGTTCCAGTTTATGTGAACCTATTTCTTTTTTTGTCCGTTCCAAAAAGAATGACCCCTTTCTAAATTTAGAAATAATTTAGCTTAAATTTACAATTTTACCCTTAATGAGAAGTTTTTATAACCACACAAATACTCTGGTCCCTTTTGAGTTGTTTAAAACCACAAATTCCAAAAGTCTTTATTTTTTCTTTAACTCCATGCCCAGTTAAACAGGTTCACATAAATTAGAACGGAGGGAGTAGTATTTAGTCATATCTATTTGATTCCAACACATTTATTCTCTCCTGTACCAAAAAGTAAATGAATTAGAGAGTATGAGGTTTGGAGGGTGTGACGACTGACCACGTGAAGAGGTACAAGAGACTTAATTAGGAAGTAGCTAAGAATTCAATGACAAGCCCATGTGCCTTTTCTACAACTACATCGCCAGGCAAGAAGGCCGTCCCAACTCCCACGCTCATTGTTTTCCACAAATCACAAAACACAAATAGAATAACAAGAGAGAAGGAAACCATATAAATAAGTGGAGCAGGCACCAGCTTTGCAACGAGACACTAGTATTTAAATTTCAACGACCAAAAAATATTTGTTAGATATTTTTTTTTTGTCTATCTATGCTAATGATGGTACAAAATGACCGAACACACACAAACATATATGTGCTAGTAAAAAGTACAAACATTTGATGCAATAGCCAAAGTGCGTACGGATTAACCATGTTAGTATTAAAAAAAAAAAAGATGGAGCTAGCCAAAGTGAGTAAATAAAAGGTTAGGCAGAAGTATACCGAAAGAGGCGGTATGGAATGTCGTCAGATTCTGTGATACGCTTTTTCCTCCTGTTATCACCGTCTTGCCTTTTCCATCTCCTATAAACATCACGTTCGTCTTTTTCCTCCCAATTTTCAGGTTATCCTCTTCATACCTGTCAATTTACATGCACGATGACCAACTCACGAAATTTACTTCAATTCCATAATGCCTAGCGCTACTAGAAAATAATAGTATCACTAGGACAAACAATTGGGAAACTCAAAGGTACAAGTCACAACTGACGTGGGACTAATTAAAAGCACAGGGATTGAAAAAGAAAAAGTGAAAAGTAATTAGGAAAAGGTTCAATAATTTATTTACCTTCCTGTCTTGACGTAAATTATTATCCGACGATTACTGTATTCTGGGACCTTCTTAATAGCCTCCGTAATTGTCTTGAACGTACCGTTACCGTCCTTTGACACAATTATATCTGCTTGTATTGCCGACACTGGCGTCTCCAGTAATATTCGCTCCTTCCTATTCAACCATTTTGGAAAAGGCGCAAAATCTTCGTCTTTTGCCGACACTACAGTACCTGCATCATCAGTTGATCCCATTAATCTCCGCCGTCGATTCTGTATCGGAACACCGGAGAAATCATCGTCGCCGTTCATGGCCGCAAATATGGCCAGACAATTGCTTACTAGCTCCGACAAATCCCTTAATTTCTCCGTCATCTGATCCTTAACGTTCCCGTTAACGTCAGCGAAACCCTCCGTACACGTGTCCTGGTTGGTCAGAGCGGCGCTAAGCCACGTCAGCACGTCGTGATTGTTTGACTTTCCGGCGCCGGGGGAGACGGAGGTTAAGGAACGGGCTAAAAGGTCAATTGATTCTTCTAGCAGCTCTAGACAATCCTCGTAAGCCGACCTTATCCGTGTGTTCATGTAAAGGTTGCTAATGTCGGAAGCCATGTAAAGTGCTTTGCCAAAACGTTGGAGCGTCAAATTGACGGAAATGTTGACGAGGTCGTCGTCGGAGGCAGAGAGTGCGCCAGGGAATTCATGCAAAGATTTTAAACATAGGGTTGTGAAACGAGTGCGACTACAGGTACGTGACATGGCTACGGTAGGCTTAGAATGAAGCAATGTGGGAGTGGGACCGGTTTTATTTCGGACAGTAACTAAAACAGCGGCAGAAATTCCAGAGGCAAGTATAAGGATAGTGGAGAAAATGAGTAGTAAGAGTTTAAGTCTGTGGGGGTTAGAGGTGGCATTGTCTGCTGAGTTAGGGAGTATTTGTCGGCGAGAGGGATCTTTAGGTTTGGGTTGTTTGTCTATCCGGCCATAGTACATTTTGGCTTTCTGATTTAGTATATTTCAGTGAAGAAAAAGGAATGCAGCTGCCGACAAAAAGTAGTCTGAGCTAAATGGAGCTTCGGAGAGGGCAAGAATAGTGTTTTCTGAGTTGTGTGTGATTAAGAAGAAAATTGAGTTAAGACTGAGACAGAGAAAAATCATGCATATATATATACATTGGGCGGTGGAGCTACGTGAGGGTGGGAAAGGGCAGGGGACCGAGAGGTGAATGGAGCCTATGTTTACTCTGTATTGAATAGGATAATTTTAAAAAATAAAAAAATTGTGATGTTCTACATGTCATGAACAACTATAGTAAATGGATATCATTATTTTTGAACAACTATAGTGAATAGTATCATGTAAAACGAAGCGAAAATAATAATATATATGTGTGTGAAAAATCAATAATTTCGAACTCATAATAATTTAAAAATATATTATTGATTTGGTAGAGACTTTAAAAGTTGAACTTACATTTAATTCTGAATCTACCTAAAAATAGGTAGCGTGAAAAAGGAAAGCTGTCGTCTTACCCCTAAGATTGGAAGTGGTAGTGTTGGGACAAAGGGAAGTGTGGACTGTTTGGGGTGGGGGAGGGGGAGTGTTTGGTGTGAGGTCAATATCGAGAGGGAGAATTAGCTGTCTTCTACTTACAGTAGCGGTGAATGGAGGAAAGTGGTGGACTTGGAAATGCGTCGTCTCTATTGACTTCTTTTTGTTGTTTCCTTTGATCAATCCAGTGTTCACAATAATGTACTAGAGTATATAACAACCAAATACTCTTCGTTAAAAGTATATGAAGCAAGAATATTCACAGTAGAATTCTGTAGCAAATTGAGGATTTTAAGTTTATAATTTCTCAATCACAAATTCTTTTGTTACTGGATTGGACTTTAAAAATTTCACAAGTGGGGTCTGAGGATGATTGAGTGTATGCAAATCTTACCCGTACCCTGGAGGGGTAGAGAGGGTGTTTCCAAAAGAACCTCGGCTCAAGAAGAAGAAAATAAATAATAGACAATAGATCAGTGACAGCAACAAAAGCCAGAAAAATAAAATAATATCAGTATCGTAAGGAACAGAAAATAAATGTAAAAGCAATAACAATAACCAGTACTAGTGCAATAGAAATAGTGTGGAAGCTACATAAACCACTAAAAACCCAAGGCAAAACATTATCAGCCTAGTCCCGCCCCCGGAAACAACGTAGAAAGACGCTCGACTCCATCCTAACCTACAATCTTAATGTTCAACCCCACACCTTCCTATCCAGAGCCATGTCCTGGGAGATCTAAAGTCGCGCCATGTCCTGCCTGATCACCTCACCCCAATACTTCTTAGGCCGCGCTCTACCTCTCCTCATACCTGCCAATGTCAACCGCTCACACATCCTAACCGGAGCATCTATGCTTCTCCTCCGGACGTGCCCGAACCATCTAAGCCTCGCTTCCCGCATCTTGTCATCCATGGGAGCCACGCCCACCTTCTCCCGAATATCTTCATTCTTAATCTTATCCAGCCTAGTGTGCCCGCACATTCATCTCGACATCCTCATTTCTGCCACTTTCATCTTCTGGGTATGAGAATTCTTGGCTGCCCAACATTCAGCCGCATACAGCATGGTTGGTCTAACCACCGCTCTATAGAACTTGCCTATAAGTTTTGGTGACACTTTCTTGTCACACAGGACTCCAGATGTTAACCTCCATTTCATTCACCCCACTCCTATACAGTGCGTGACATCCTCGTCAATCTTCCTATCCCCTGGATAATAGACCCAAGGTACTTGAAACTTCCTCTCTTGGGGATGACTTGTGAGTCAAGCCTCACGTCCATGTCCGCTTCCCCCGATGCATCGGTGAATTTACACTCCAGATATTCTGTCTTAGTTCTACTCAACTCGAAACCTTTAGACTCTAGGGTCTGTCTCCAAACCTCCAGCCACTCATTAATGTCGCCTCAAGTCTCATCAATCAGAACTATATCATCAGCGAACAATATACACCATGGCACCTTCCCTTGAATATGGTGTGTTAGTTCATCTATCGCCAAGGCAAATAGGAATGGGCTGAGCGCAGACCCTTGGTACAACCGCATAACAACCGGAAAGTGCTCTGAGTCACCTCCCACAGTCCTAACCCGAGTCTTAGCTCTCTCGTACATGTCCTTTATCACCCTAATGTAGGCTACCGACACAACTTTCACCTCCAGGCATCTATTTTAATCAATAAAAGTAATATTTACCTTATACATGGTATAATATATATATATATATATATATATATATATATATATATATATATATATATATATATATATATATATATATATAAAGTGAATTTGTTAGCACATATATAAGTTTTGAACCAAAGCTAATGAGTTCTATTAAATTCGTAACTTCTATTATGACTCCATCCTTGAGGGCTGATGATAAAATAATTACGTATTTTAGTCGCTTATTACACTCTAATTTACTGCACTTTAATTGAGTTTGAGCTTTAATCGCTAGTGTTTTGCACTAAATATGTGTTATGCCTTGTAGGAGTGATTCCGATCTATGTAGTCATTATGGAATGAATTCAAGTGATTTGGAGCTTTGAAGTCTGAGTAAAATCCCAAGGAATTAAGCTGGGATTGTGTTCGGGGATCAACGGATGATAGTTAAGAACGAAACGAAGAATCGAGCGGGCATACGTCGCATTGTCTAGTAAAATGCACATAACTTTTCGCTCAAAACTCTGTTTGGGCTCCACAATATATCGTTGGAAAGCTATTTGAAAGGGCTACAACTTTCATGTTTTGCATTTTCGCGAATTCTCACTACCGCTCCGCACAGTGCGGCGCAGCGTGCGGCGCGCCTTTGGAATTCTCCTGCAGTCTGTCAGAATCAGCTCTCTGAACTTCCCCACAAGCACACCGCACAGTGCGGCGCAGCGTGCGGAGCGCCTGTACAAATTTTACAGAGCCAGAGTCCTATTTCGTGCAGGAAAGGGTGTTTCGTTTGGGCCCGACCCTACTTGGTATAAATACATATAAAAATGCTATTTTGAGGACTTTTGACACATCTTAGACCTAGGGAGGGCACAGAGCCGCTGTGGAGGCCGGGTTTCATCTTTTCTTCCACCAAACTTAGTAATTTTTATGTTTCTTTGTATGATTTATTGTTTGGCTACCATGTCTATGTGGAGCTAAACTTCACGTTCTAGGGTTGTGGTTCTTTCATGACTATTGTTATTCGGATATTGATTTTGATTTCTTAGTTTATCATATTGGTTTATTTATTCAATCCTGCACTTAATTATTTGATTGCTTGATCACCAATTGAATACTATCTACGAATCTAGAATTGAACTCGAAAGTGGGAATTCTAGATTGCATATAGGATTGAATAGAGCAAGTTTTTGAACCTGGGCATCGGGGAACAGATTCGCGTTTAGGAAAGACATATACCTAATTGCCATGCTTGGTTGATTTACAGGAACTATAAATATATTCTTGTTAGTTCTAACTCCATAGACATATAGGTATTAGGTTAGCTTGAATAGGCGAGTAAGAACTCGACAGATTCTTGTGAGCAATATTAACCCTGTTAACCATTAAACTAGATAAATTAGCTAGTCTGTTCAATTGAAGAATACAATAGGAATGTTAGATAGCCCATAACCCTAGATCGTTTTCATCATATTTATAATATAAAAATCTGCTCTTCCTCTGTTCAAAGTTCATTTATTTATTTTTATTTATTTTAATTAGTTTAGAATCAAATACTTCTAGTTTTAATTTTTGTTTAGATAGTTAGGATAGTCTAATTTAGTTAATAGTTAATCACAAGTCCTCGTGGGTTCGACATCCGACTTCTAGTCACTTTATTACTTGACGACCGCATATACTTGCGTGTGCATTTGGCCGCAAGAAGGGCTATCCATCGTTAGTTAACCGATCTTTTGGATTATTTTATTTGGATTATGGTAATGAAGTTTTTGTAGGGGGTTAATATGGATTAAGAAGTGGAATCAAATGAAGTTAAGGTGGAATTGAATTTGAAGGTTAGGACGAGAGAGGTTGTAACAAGAAAAAAGCATTTTGCTTATTTGGTCATGAAAGTATTTAGATATATTTTGGGCTTGAACACAGCATCTACTGGCCCTCTTTTGTTATCCCTTTTAGAATGGAAAGCTCAACCCAGCTTAAAGTTTTTGTATCTTTCAAATGTTTCTGTTTGGATCAAAAGATATTACAACCTTTTTGAACAAATCAATCAAAGAAAATGAAGGGGTAAATCTTAGATAAGAATAATAATTATTAGAACGAAAGAACATAAGTAATGAATATACAAATGATCTTGTCTGATCTCATGAAGATCCGAGATTGGATGCTAGAAAATGTTTATCGGAAAGTATTAAAATTGGTGCTCTATCTTAGAGATGTTGCAGATTGAGAAAAAAAAAAGAAGACCCCCTTACAAAGCCATTCCCCCCGTATATATAAAGGTCAAACCCCTTCTGGATCCTGAAAAGCATATTCTAGGGCCCCCTCTATGGAGCCTGCCTAGCACCTCTTATCGAAGCCGTGTTAAACAGTGAGGACCTCGCCGTTGGTCGTGCTCGTCTATAGTCGTGGTCATCCAAATTTGGACCCATACAGTTAGTCCCTCCGCTTGTTGAAGTCGCAACTCGACGCGTCCTTGATAAGCGGACATCATTTGCCCTTCGTGGAGAAATTTGGTTTCGTGAAGTACCACATCCTGGTCAACAGTAGGAGGTCAACGTGCTCAGCAAGGTATCGGTGCTGTGTCTCATCATGAAATGACGTCATCCGCCTTTTCGTCATCATTATGCGCATTTTCGAGACTGGGGCTGACGGTATGTCGCTTCGATTTTGGTACCAATTTGCAGTCTTTCGCCTCGATTCCGGTGCTACTCTGCTGCTTTTTGCTTTGATTCCGCTGCTACTCAATCCTATAAATAGGTGAAGGATTTGTTTTTTCAAAAACTCTTGGCCATTCCACCTCCAATTACTCTTCCTCATCTTTCCGGCGTTCGTTCTCACGGTTTTTTCGTTCCTTCTTCTTTCATTCTTCGCCCATAACTTTCTCTGCTACTCCAATATCTTTCTTGCCACAACAATGCCTAGAACGCATCCATCCCACGAAGGGGTTTCTGAGGCGGACCCGCTGTCCGTGGCTTTTTCCTCCGGTGGTGAGGACATAATGGTGGAAGAGGGGGTAGCTTTCCTACCGT